CGCATACATCATCGCCGCGGAAACGATCTGCAAGTGTCACACCCACGTTATCGCACCCTCGCATTTTCGTCTTCATTTTCCCCCGAGCAGCAACAGATACAGCCATTACTAATCCATCATACTTCATGGACAATTTAACACGGTTTCTCACCGAGTGAATTCACCTAGCTATACTGTACAGCCACCCCTTATGTAATACCCCCTGCCGGGGTCTTAAAGGAAATAAATGATGTGATGTGTCTGCAAGGCGTGGCGGGGTAACAGGAAGCTCGAGTCACTGTATATGTTCGCTAAAAGTAGCATATCCAGTAACTATACGGAAAACTGCATTGCTGCGCCACCTAGCGTCGTACGGCGGGGTGTAGTGGCTATCAGCTGCATACTCCGCGGTCATCTACAGCATCGCTGTGTTGGCGGAGCTAATCACGGAGTCAAAGGCTGCTAGCCGCAGCACCACGACGTGTGACTGTAGGTTGCACATCAATGCCCTTTTAGATGCGAAGCAACTTAGGGTCGAGCTCAATCCGGTGTGCAGCGTGACCACCCTTATAGCGCAGGCGCGTCCACTCCCCCTCTCTCCCCTCGCAATGCCGACGCAGCCAGCGTGGGCTGGCGAGTTTCTTGATTGAAAAATTGGCGACGTATCTTGATGCTTCGCTGGCAAAGGTCGTCGAAAATCTTCAGTCTTGACAGAGAGAGAATAAAACGTATATTTGACGTTCTGCGCGAGTAGATCGGTGAGTGGGATCCTGAAACCGGGATTCCATGGGCGCGGGACGCTGTCTTGGTACGTTTCACGGGGGCCTCTTGGGTCTTCGGAATCGAGCTGGACAGAGCCGCCTCCCATCCCACTCTTCTATGCTGTGTTGTGTCCTGGGGTGCGTGAGATATTAGACAGTCATAGTTTAGCGTTAGCGTGATAGCGTAGGTTAAGGGAATGGCGTTACCGTGCAGCCAACGTTCGTTGTGGGCAGCGTCTTATAGTTTTGCCCCGCCGCTGTGGTCTAGTGGCTAAGGTACTTGGCTGCTGACCCGCAAGTCGCGGGATTGAATCCCGGCTGCGGCGGCTGCATTTCCGATGGAGGCGGAAATGTTGTGGGCCCGTGTGCTCAGATTTGGGTGCACCTTAAAGAACCCCAGGTGGTTGAAATTTCCGGAGCCTTCCACTACGGCGTCTATCAAATCATATGGTGATTTTGACACGTGATACCCCACATATCAATCAATCAATCAATCAATCAATCAATCAATCAATCAATCAATCAATCAATCAATCAATCAATCAATCAATCAATCAATCAATCAATCAGCGTCTTATAGTTTAGCGGGATAGCGTTTACGTGGTTTAAGTTCCCCTGCTGGGATGGTGGCGCCACCTATTATATGGTTAATAAGTTAAACAGTGAAAAGGAAAAGAAAACGAGAATGTTTGCCTCTGCCACCACGCGAAGCATTGTTAGAAATTTATTTTAGTGATAATAAAAGTAAGCAAATATGAACCACGCACCAAACGCGAAAACATCTATGTTGCCGATTTGCTTACATTGATATTGTAGTTAGGCCTAGACGCATTCGAAATGGGAAGCTATCTGAAAAACTACGTCAACTTATCCGTAATACTCGGTCATCGAAGCTATCTGAAGGCAAGCGAAGCCACTTTGAACAGTCGTTTGCCGCGAACGCGTAATAGTCTCTGCGGTCTATATGATTAGGTATTTATGCACTTTAGATATAAGGCAACACGCTACGTAATGCCCCCGTATACTGATAGTAGGCACAAATATTGCCGCACGTATGTGCCAGTGACGAGGACAAAGAAACAGTGCGAGAATACTTGGCCTGGACAAGGACGAAGAAGACGTGGCTGCCTTTTTCCTGTTTCATAATTTATTCATTCCTTTCAATTAATTGTTCTTCACCTACTTTATGCGTAGGTAACCTTATGATTTTTCAAATATATATTCTCTAGATGTCTGAATAATTCTGATCCTTCACGCAAACTTTGAATTTCCCTTTTACCCATTACATTGACCATTGGTCTAATGGCCGATCCCCCGTGGTGGGTACGAGCCACATCATACAAGTACAAACAAGCAAACAAGCAAGCGAATCTATTTGTTTGTCGTCCTCCGTTTCATCGTCGATCTCGCGTCGTCACAATACGCGCAATATTAGTTGGTTGACTGACAATGTCAGCACGTATGAACGCAAGAACCAGATCAGGATGGCTGGTCGCTTCGCCTTTCTATTGAATCGGTTGACAGAAGCAGAAAGACAGACACTCAGAGACAGACAGGCAGACCAAAAATTTCTGCGTTGAAGTATCCCAAGAAAGACTATTGTCATTAAAAGCGTATTGCTGGCACTGCACAACCGTTCACTGGCGACCCCGTATATATAGGAACTGGGTCTTCACACTGAAGCCAGGGCCGGTGGGAGATTAATTCTGTGCCTTGTTAACAATAAAAATTCGCAGCGTGTGCGTTAACTAAAAGTGGACTGTGAGTCCGATCGGTGTCTTCTATCTCTCATTGGCCATTAGCGCCGATTTACATGTTCCAGCAGAAAACATCGGTCCGCCACTGCGTGCTTTGCGCCTTCCCGGATTTCTCTCCTGCGCAACGCCGCCATGAGCGCCAGCGTCAACGTCACCGCTAGTGTAAGCGCTAGCACCCGTTGCTTCGCATCTACACAGGGTTCTTTTTACCGGGAGATGGTGTAACTTTTCCTCACACGGCCACGCGCTGCGGACCCCGCAAACATTTACTGCCGATAGTGCATACTGCTACGAGTACACCACCATCTCGATGAGCTTGAGTAATATACTGCAAATTATTTAATGATCAACACACACAAAAAAAAATCCAAAGCTGTGGTATTCGCACCGGTTCAGAAGGCTGTCCGTTGTGGTTTGGATATATACCTAGGGCCCGAAAAAATTGAGGTTGTCAAAGAAGTTTCATCATTAGGAGTAATTTTTAATGAAAATCTTAATTGGGACGAACACGTTAATAAAGTAACTAGAAATATAGCTAGGACGTGTGGTGCTCTCTCTAAACTTGGGCAGATACTTCCAGCAAACATTAAACTTTTACTCTATAATACGTTGTTTTCATCTCACATAAAGCTATTGTAGTCTAGTGTGGGCAGATACATCTAAAACAAATCAGTACAAAATATTTTTACTGCTGAAAAAAGCGATTCGTCATATTGCAAACGTACCATACGACGCACATACAAGTCATTTATTCAGAGAATATAAGATTTTACCGATCGATCACATACACAGCTTCAACCTTGTTATGAAATACAAACGAAGCCTGCTATCAAACAACGCTTGTTTTCTTAAACTGTGTAACCTCCGAAAAAATACACAATCCCATTATGACATTCGGAAAAGGCCTTCCTGGTTCGCTCCTTATTCGCGAACTAATCAGGGTTTGAGAAGACTTGAAAACTGTACTCCTATTTGTTTTAACATGTTTGAAAATAAGAACATCGACATCTTTAATATACATAAAAAAACAACTTAAGAACCTTCTCATCCAGAATGGCGGCGTGTAGTTTAGCTTCTTCTAATTGTCCGGCTACAATACTATATGTAAAATAAACACCCTATAATAGTGCTCGTGTGTAACATGGCATCCTATGATGTTTGCTTTCTTTGACATTTTTTAAAGTGTGAATACACTTTATAAGCGACCCCAAACCATCCACCGCCGTCGGCGGCGTCCGCAGTCTTCTCTCTATCTTTAAAAGAAAGAGGACTTGGCGGGCCGCAGCGCGACGCTCTACCGAATAAGCCACGGACGCGACGCTGATATCGGTGTCCGTAACGCGCCTTATACCCCCTCCCCCTTCGCTCGCTCCTCCGCTCTCCTCGCTCGCTGCAGCTGCGCGCGCGCCCCTCTCTCTCGCGCGCCCGCCTTCTCTCTCAGTCTCCCGTCGAGAGCGGGTCGTGAGGGGGAGTAAAGTTAAAATCCGTTGGCATTCGCCAGTGAGTTAACGTAAACTCCCCCGTGTGATCAAATTGCGATTCCCAGGAACCATTACACCATAAAGGCACCATAGTGTGATTAATAAATATAATAGTGCGAATTAATAAATACCCCTCATAGCATCACCCCGTGTATTCGCACTTAACCATGTTCACCCTCGGAGAAATGCTTGGGAGTTTTTTTCGTTGCCTTTTTTACGAGTAAAATATGCAACATTTCACTCGTTAGTGTTTCCCTTGTGCATCAAAACTTGCGCTTTTCGCATACCCAGTGTTGTACACGTTGTATAATCATAGCCGTTCAGTAACGTGGGCATTGTTTTATGATTGACCGTACGCTGTTTTCTTTTGTTATTTGTTGTTTTTCTTTCTTTGTGGTTTGCTTATTTTTTGTAAACCTGAAACTGATGTAATTTTGATGCATTTCCTTTTTATTTCCTCATTTCTTGAAGTTTTAAAAATCGACGTCAAATTGTTTTTTCATGCTTGTGCTCTGCGGATTTTGTAATGCCAAGTGAAAAGGGGTAGGAGCCTCGTCAAGCTGCTTACATAGCAGCTTTTTGCTTTTATCCTTGCGTGTTCTTTTTCGCAACTCTGTGAAGAAAATGCTCAATAAAACTGAAACTGAAATATAGCTATGTGATCAAGGACCGGTTAAATGCGCGGAACTGTATTGCTACATGCAGTTATACTGCAATAGCTCTATCTTGCAGTTTAACGTAAATTTGAATAGTTACATCACAGACAGACAGACAGACAGACAGACGGACGGACGGACGGACGGACGGACATATAGATAGACAGATAGATAGATAGACAGATAGATAGACAGGCAGACAGACAGATAGATAGATAGATAGATAGATAGATAGATAGATAGATAGATAGATAGATAGATAGATAGATAGATAGATAGATAGATAGATAGATAGATAGATAGATTTCGGTGGCTTTCTCGCAGTGCTGTGTCGACTGTTTGGTGGAGTGCTGCTGGCGGCTACAGCACGCCTGATGTCAGGCTCACTGCACCGCGCCATGCTGGACGGCGTGCTTCGCAGTCCGGTCTCCTTCTTCGACGCATCGCCCCGAGGAAGGGTGCTGAACCGCTTCGCCGGAGACCTAGACTTCGTGGACGCCGAGTCGTTCGTCAGCGGCCTGCAGTGCGTCCAGGGTTCGCTGCTCACCGTGGCCAGCATTGTCGTGGTCGGGACGCAGGCGCCTCTCGTGGTGGCGGTCACAGTTGTCGTCGCCATTCTCGGCGCTTATGGATTTGTGGGTGACACACTTATTGCGAAATTGTCCCATGATCGAAAGGCCCCTAGCAAGTGAGAAAATGCGGAAATTTCATTTCAGTGGGAAGTTTATTAAGACAAACAGCATTTTTATGGTATGTATCAAATGCGTTTAAGTAGAAGTTGGTACCAATGTCAGGCTTCTGCTACTCGTCTTTTGCTGCATAATAATTTGCATAGTCAAATTATAAATAACATTAAAGAAATACGAAATGTACACGTGCTAGTACATTCACGTCTTGATTATAACGCAATGAACGTGTAATGGAATGAACCAGTACCAAGTGGCCCATTACACTGTGCTCCTACAATAACTTGTTCACAATCCTTAAATGTTCGCAAACAGAAAACATCTGCGCATCGCAGGGGAGTTCATCATCTTTACAACACAGGTCACTGGACACTTCGCCGTTCTGGAAACGCAGTTATCATATAACAAAAAAAAACTGACATCTACAAAATACGTGAAACACATGAGACGTTGGACCGGAAGTATTTGTTAATAGTTAACAATGCGAACAATCTGATTCAGTAATCTTGTGATATTTCTGCGCCTGTTCCGCAAGATGTTTGCAATGGGGTGGGATGGCAATTTCTTGAGTGAAGGAGATGATCTAGGCCCGTAGCCAGGAATACTTTTCGGGGTGGTGTGGGAGCACTGGCTGAAGATTTTGAAAAACACCTACCTTTATAGTATTTAAAGTTAATGCTCCATCTGAATTTAGAGGGCTGAGGGCACCCTTGGCCATAGGCCTGTTGTGAGGCTCAAGAACTGCACACATCGTACCTCCACCAGCACTGAGTTATGGTGCCAGTAATCGAGTCATATTGGTTAGTTTAGGTGAATATTGACCAACTGCTGTCAAGCCTGTAACTTTGTTCATGGCTTCTATTTTGCAAAGGTTCCTAAACCACACCTGATTATATAAAGAGTTGTGGCATTCTACTCCCCAGCGTTTGCCTATGTACTCACACTTTAGATGACTTCTTTTTTGTGTTGTTCCCACTCCTAACGAGCCTTGAAACGTAGTCCTTGCAGCTGTTACTCTACACCGCGCCCAAACCGCGCACGTAGGACGATACATAGTGAGACACTGCTCTTTTCCGTTCGGTCCTTCGCAGGTGACGGCCGTGAGCGTGTCGCACAGCTCGCGTTATTCGGACAGCGTTGGAGCGTCGAAGCTGTTGCAGCACATGACCGAGACCCTGGAATCCTTGAGCAGTGTGAGGGCCTACGGAGTGGTGGACCGATTTCAACGCCACTTCGCCCGGCTGAGCGACGTCTGCCTGAGAGGCTACGCGTCATACGGCGCCGCCTACCGCTTCACGCGTTCCCTGACGGCGGTGGGAGGCTTCGCGGTCGTCCTCTCCTCCCTCCTGCTCAGCATCTTGGGTTCGGCGCCGACAGATCCCAGCAGTTTGGGACTCGCCCTCAGTTCCGCCACATCGGTAAGCACGTGATTACGCTGTTATTCAAGGTGCACCGGACAACTTAATCGAACTGTAGGCTTTAAAGAAGAACTGAGGCGAACGGAAGACATCGCAAAAGCGACGTTTTTCGTTTCCTCAGTATGCCAACGCTCCTCACAAACACCGTAGTCGGACAACTCGCATAAAGTATATCGCTTTGACGTTAAAGATTTCGTCGCTGAGAAACTGTGAGCCAGCTCCTCTTTAGTTGGCATTAGTCTTTCGAGTCAAGACAGTTTCCGGAATTCACGATCTCCGCGTCCTGCGTGCAGCATAAATCGCAGGGAGAGAGCGGTTTAGCGATAGAAACTACTCTAATCTTTGTTTCTCTTTTATTGCGATAGCAATTATGTGCAAACTCTTTGCTGGATTTTGCCGCTGGCGTCGCGTCGATGAGGGTGTCGCCGACACTCACCGTATATGTATACGTATACGTATTTATGAAAATTCAAAAAAGAAAAAAAATTCTGAAAACGCCTTTTGCTCGCCGAATTGAACGTAGAACCCCCGAGTCGTGAATGTGAGGCGGCAACCACTAAGCCACCGAGGAGCACGTCCTTGAACGCGCAAACGGCAAGCTATTTATATCTACCACTTACCGCTGGTGATGGGCATCTCGGGGGGGGGGAGGCAGCTATTGTGTTTTTAGCATTAGCAGCAAGATGGCGCAATGATCGGGCGGCCAAAGCGCGCGGCGGCGCGCATTCTTATCTCCCACGTGTACTTTGCTCCTCAGAGTGGAGAAGCTGGAGGCATGCTCACGCGCCCACATCTTGCAGCGGGGAGAATCGTACGTCTTGACTAGCCTTTGGGTTTCGGCGGACCGTTTCTGTTGTAGTAAATGGGTGGACAAAGGTCCCTGCAATCGTTGCACAGTCTCCGTTTGCGAAAAGGCCACTCTTTTCAGACACAGTGAAGCAACAACTGAGACGCTTATTCACGTTCATCTGTACCTGTGACTACGTTTCGTGCGTCATTCGTACTTGAGAAACGCGGGGAACGTTTCGATTTGCTTGCCATTCGGCGCGTGACCTTCCAATTTGTTGCTATCGCATTCATTTCTTCGCCTTTGCTGCAAAGCTGTGACTTATTTCTCTTTCCGTCTTGCTCTGTTGATATTTTGTCCCTTGTATGTCTGCTTTTATCTTCCTTATTTTTTCTACTGCTGTATATATCTTTCGGTTTATCTCTTTCGCTCTCTTTGTACTCGTTATCTTGCCTATCCGAATTACTGAATACCACGCGCGACAGATTAGCGTACTCGTTTTGCGGCAAAAGCTTTTGCGCTAATGACGATACTTTTTTAGGGGCGAAGCTCCTTAGGGCGTGGGCTGTGCGTCCCCTGTATGTAGCCACCTCTAGTTTAGTTCTTGCAGTGTTCACTAGATGGCGGTACCGTCCCCTGTATGTAGCCACCTCTAGTTTAGTTCTTGCAGTGTTCACTAGATGGCGGTACCGTCTCCTGTATGTAGCCACCTCTCGTTTAGTTCTTGTAGTGTTTACTAGATGGTGGTACTTGTAGCTGATGATGAAAAGATGCAAGATGTTATAAACTAGAAAGCGGTACTTGTAGTTGATGAAAGACGCGAGATCTTATAAAATAGGAATGATGTCACATATGGCGCGTGTCATTGGTTGAAGGCAATCGTTCGATTTAGTGCGGCGACGTACGCTAGGGGGAGCGATGTAATAAAATCGAGTGGGCAAAATGTACAGAGGATTCATGGTTTACCAGGTTTACCTCCGGAGCTTCGCCCACTCATCATCATTCACTTCGTGGATATGGCGGAATTTTTTTACAAGAGCAACAGTCTCTCCTCGTGAAAAAAATTTAATTGCATTTTTTCTCAGTATCGAAGCGTCTGAACTCCCGTGAAGCATATCCGGCCGAGATTCATTGCGATAGCAATTGCGTGGGCACTCTCGACCACTTTTTGTCATTGTCTGCGCCGTTTCTATCGCCGTATGTACCGTATATAGTCCAAGCTGATAATATCCGCAACTCATCGTATGTGCTACCACCGGTTCTTTCCCTGGAGCGGCCGTATTTTACGACATCATTGTTGTTTGGAGCTATTTATATCGCATCTAAAAGAGTTAGCTTCCAGCCTCACTCGTGTAACTTCATATACGTTGACGTATATAGCATTCATTGGTTCGCCGGACAAGGAACGACTATTTAAACAGCTTCGTGTTTAATATAAATTGCGTGCTGAAGGCCTTATATGGTCCCCCATTACTTTTTTTTTCATTTTTTGGTGTTGCTTTGTTGTGTCAGGAATGTGGAATAAGATTAGATAAGTTGATCTTTCCTAACTGCTGGCCCTTAGCTCAGCGTTATATTAAGTTGTGTAAGGCAATTATGTCAAAGAGCTGGTTTTGCAGAAATCCTGTTGTCGACGTCAGCGTCATTAGTTGCGAATGAAAAATCGCCCTGTCCGTGACCTAAAAATTAAGACAGATGCAAATGAGAAATAAATAGAAATTTTCGGTTCGAAGCGAGAATCGAACTCTGGCTGTCTGCGCGTCAGGCAGACCTTCTGTCACAGAGCCACGTTATTGTTTGAAATGGAATTGACAAAAAACTATACTGAGGTCATTTGGTGAAAGGAACCTCCTCAGCGCATGTAATATTGCATGACAGAATCCTATATTCGCACCACGCGTCAAAACAAGTGGATTGCGCAACGAGTGGTAGGTCTGAAGCCACTCACCCATTACGAAGCGTGCAGCTGCACAAATGCACGACGCACCTTACAGTTGAGTAGCGGGTACCTAGCCAAATGAGCAAAAGGAAGAACTACGGCGTAGCGGGCAGTTAGCAACTGCACATTCGTTGAGATTCTAAGATAGTTTGACGTTCACCGTACCGTATGGACGCTACTTTCCTTGCAGCAAGGTTCCAGGCACTGCGCATGGGACCCGCTACAATGTTCGACTCCCTATGGCGAGGCCCAAGCTTCCTTAGAGTTTTATTTCATCCCACAGTGACCTTTATAACCGTGGGCCCTTAGCTCGGTGTTATTGAAGTGGTGCATTTTGTGCACTTCCTCGAAGGAAGTGTGGTTTGGGTATCCACAGACTGGTTCACATGAGTGGTAAATACGTGGTGCCTCGAGCGTCTTGTCCTTGATATTCGCCCTTCAACCCCTCCTCCCTACCTTCACCATTGTATCACCCATCCACCCACTTCCAGGTGCCGTTGCTACTCATGAGTCTGTGCGTGAAGCTTTTTCTCACGCTACAAATGCTGGTTTCGTTCGAGCGGTGTCTGGATTATACGGCACTTCCTCCCGAGGTAATTCATTATTTTATTCCCTCTGCGTGCTTGTCTTTGTGTGCGTGCGTGCGTGTGTGCGTGCGCGCGCGCGCGCGCGTGTGTGTGTGTGTGTGCACGCGCTTATTTCACGTAACTCTAAGGACTGGAGGACCTTGCCAAATCACTTGCCTCTATTCAAGACATTGTTTATTTTCGATCACGGATATTTGACCCTATACCATAAGCGCGTTTATTCCATGTTAATCTCAAATGTATTAACGTGTTGCGTTTATCCCATGCTAGCAGTGCTGTATAGTAAGGCATTCTTTTCTGCATTTTTTTTTGACACTCTCATGTAATTCTTCAGCTCCTATGTATTCTCACATGTACCGCTCGGCTCTTCAATGCCTTCGCGCCTTCAGGGCACCTATTAAGTGACTGATCTGACTGACCTAACTGACTGATTGAACTTACTGATGGAGTGAGTGAGTGAGTGGGAGAGTGAATGAGTGAGTGACTGAGTGATAGACAGACAGACAGACAGACAGACAGACAGACAGACAGACAGACAGACAGACAGACAGACAGACAGACAGACAGACAGACAGATAGATAGATAGATAGATAGATAGATAGATAGATAGATAGATAGATAGGTAGGTAGATAGATAGGAAGTTGTGAATTGAAAAAAATTAATAATTAAAAAAAGAATTAAAAAAAACCCACGTTGTTTTTTTTTTGTTCAGTCACAGTTTGATGCGCCTTTTAATGGAAACGATCCGGCAAATATAAAGACAACGCTGCTTTTAAAAACGTGGCCATCTGATGGAGTCGTCGAGTTTCAAGATTACTCGGCCTCGTACCGACCAGGCTTTACAGCCAACGTTCTCGAAAATATCTCTTTCTCGGTGCGGGCCACGGAGAAGGTGAGTCCTCGTGCAACAAAAAAATAAATAAAAAAAGATCATTGGGCCAGTTCTTCGAGCATGAATATTTTAAGATAAATTAGAGCAAATGATAAGTGGTCAAGGAACAGAAATATTGATACGAGTTCTCATCTGCTTCCCAGTGTTGTGTGTGCATTTATTATTAGTGCTAATTTATCTCGACTGCTTGGGGAGCGATCGAGCTTTTGGTAATCATGAATGTTGGACACACTAGCATATTCGGGCTTCCTCCTGACATATAGGTACAGTTACGATATCATCCGGCCTCAATAGCTCCTAGCTGCTCGCGACTTAAATGCGAGGTTTCAAATGGCCTCGGGTTCTAAATATTTCATTAAGGCCTTGAAAGACTGGTGAGATACGTAAATTGACCATCGTGGCACTGCGACGTTGGAGGGAGTACGAGTGATGCGAAAAATGATCACGCGGTTACGTCACAGTATGACATCATCATGACGTCACTATGATGTTCTATACTGTGGTGTTACGAGACATTTTGACGTCATCACACAACAACGTCGCTTGGTGATAGGTTGACCGATTGCGGAGGCGTTGAAAAAGCAGGTGTAGAGCAGAACGCTTGCAATGCCATCGCCGTCGCCGTCATGGTCTTTATAAAGTGCGAATAGATTACATTGCCTCACGCGTCATGTGCTCCGTGTGATAGCGGAAGGCTTGCGAAAGCTTCAGATGGGCGTGGTCCGTGTGATAGCGGAAGGCTTGCGAAGGCTTCAGATGGGCGTGGTCCGTGTGATAGCGGAAGGCTTGCGAAGGCTTCAGATGGGCGCGATCCGTGTGATAGCGGAAGGCTTGCGAAGGCTTCAGATGGGCGTGGATTCAGCAGAGATGAAACACGCCGACCGGTTCCGTCGGAAGGAGCATGAAGTGGGGTCGGTCAGAGGGCTGCGTCTCTAGGACAGCATTTGCGAACATTGAGCAAAAGGGCGTGTTGCCGTGTGTCATCTCCACATAGACAAGTGAAGGGGGTATAACCTCTTAGTGGGCTGTCACCGCTTACTTCGCGTTTAAATGGCAGGCAGCTCGGAAACACCATCGGTCCCCGGATCGGCCGTTTTTTTTTACGCCTGCGTTTTGTAGAATGGCGCTAGGTCGGATCCTACAGAAGTTAGCTGCTAAATATGCCACGTTTTTTTTTCTGTTAAGCTTTCAAGCTTTTTATTCACACTTGTGTCGTGTACTTTCTCGTGCTTCGTCTGTGTGCGCTGACTGTCATGAGTATGTTTCAACTAGCTCAATTTGCTACATTACTGCAGCTAGATTCTAGCCTTACTTCGAATGAAATTGCAATTTATTGCTATAGCAGGGATTGATTCACTCTTGCGATGAAACCACATTTATGTGTACTCGTTAAAATCCTAATATCTAATGAAGCAACGTAGTTCAAACTTGCTTGCTGCAATGTCGCTTCACCTGACGTTTGGTTTGCTACCCGTGTTTAATAAACAGGTTGGCGTCGTTGGACGCACAGGGGCCGGCAAGTCATCTCTGGTGCTCGCTCTCCTCCGCATCCTGAGAGCCTCGAAGGGTCGTATCCTGATCGACGGTGTCGACATCGCCCAAGTGCCGCTCGAGAAACTTCGTCGAGCCATTACCGTTATTCCCCAGGTCTTTTCCTACTTCTTCGAGACTCCGGATGTCAAATGTCTGGACATAAACAACAAAAAAAGAACGAAAAAAAAAACACATGGCCCTAATCCTTGATCTCGGTGTCTGATGGTAGCGCGCGGGTCAGTTTTCGTGTGTTCTGGTGTACTCCTACTAGGGGTGGGCGAATAACAAAATTTGGAACCGAATCGAACACGAATAGTAATCGGGTACAAATCGAATAGTTTTCGAGCAGTGAGGCAAACGGTTTGAAATCAGCGATAAAGAGAGAAAGAAATGTGGTATGAAGAAAGGCAGAGAGGTTTACCAGAAAGTAAGTGTCTGGTTTGCTACCCTGCACTGGGGAAGGGGAAGTAGAAGAAAGAAAAGTACGGAAAAGGAAATGAGAGAAAGAGAGCGGGACGGAAGCGAAAACACACAAACACACTAAAACGTCCCAAACGTTTGACGAGGCGGGTCGATCGCAGAAACTTCAGGAGGGCTTTCGTCGCTTTTCCGCGTAAAGCTCGATGAGAGCAGCCCTAGAATGGTAATGCAACCTTTTATGAAACTTCCCGAGAATTCCGAATTTCACAACACTTTCAATTGAAACAAATATGCACAAGCTTCACAAAAGTTAAATTACGAATAATTTTGAGCGACAAAAATACCACAATTATGTAAACTGATGCAGGTTTGTATAAAGCGGCAACTATGGAGCCTATGAAATATTTTGTAAGCGAAGGCTCAAATACAGCGGTAATCACAATATGCAAGGATGCTCCTTGTCAACCGCTTTAAGTAAAACTGATGTACAAATACTAAACAATATTCGTGAGTCAGCATCATTATCGTGTGCCAGATTTCTTTGAGCACAAAACCGTGTGTGAATGAATGTGCTGTCGCTACACTCGGGGTCAACCTCGCGTCACCAGTTCAAGTGTCACGCAGGACCCGAGCCTAGTGCGAGGCACTCTGCGCATGAACCTCGACCCCACAGAGGCCCGCTCCGACGAGCAACTGTGGCAGGCTGTGCGGCAAGCTCATTTGGCCCCGCTGGTCAAAGGTCACCCGGCGGGACTGGACATGGAGACTGCGGACGGAGGCGCCAATCTGAGGTGCGACGCAGCATAGTTCGCGTAGGCTCTGGTTCTGGATTTTGTGTGTGAGCCCTTTGAGAAGACACCTTTCCAGTTCAAAAATGTTTCTATAAAAAAGTTCCGTGAAACATCAATCAACGATTCATCATTTTAGCGTAACGTAAACGCTTGCGAGTGAACCTAAATTGGCATACGACATTTGTTATATTTGCTTCAGTTTTCTATTTCATTATGACTTCGCATAATTTAGATAAACATTTGACTTTATATATATCTTGGGGGAGGGGGCAGAATATAGACGAATGGACTAAGCTAGGTGTTACGTCTCGCATTATATCTACGACAATAGAACCACGAAGGACAAATAGTAAGCACATCTTCATTTCATAGGCTTGCAAGTTTTCTGCAGCACTGCTGTAACGCTCCTGCTATTCGTCAAGGATATCGGACTTGTTTAGCGTCTGTGATATCAAACGCAGAACTGCTGCTGCGTCGGCGGCAATACTGACTCTCTCGCTGGGCATCTCTGACTTGTTCTCCCCGTTTTCCTTGCAGTGCGGTTCCTACGAAAATAGTTAGAAGATGTTCAAATTGCAAAGACAGCTTTACAGAAAAGAAGAGAAAAGGGATTTCAAGGGCTTGTTGAATGTTACTATATACTGAGAACTGAAAAGCAATAAGCCTATCGAAAATATAGAAGTTATTTCTAATAAGTATACATATAGCTGATATAACTAATATAATATAGCTCATATGATATAACCTTCGAACTTTGTATTCGAAGGCTTCAGGTTCGGTCACTGCATGTCAGCGGAAAGTTAATGTTTCATCTGCTTTGCTTTCTCCACATTTACTAATAAAAAAAAGGTTCTTGGGCGGAAGTTCTCGCGTGAATTCGAACGTGCGCGTGAATTTGCGTGTTTTTTTTCTCTCGCCGTTCTCTTTGTTGTGAGCAAGAAGATCGGTTGTAAGTGTAAACTGAAACGGACAGAATATTGATTCAATGTGAGAGGGAGTGGCAGAAATGGATCTTAGAGCCGTTGTGGCACTATAATACGTACCTCCTTGGCTAATCGGAAGGATCAACTTGGAACCTTTCGTTGATAGCCAATGTGGTATAGGCTAACACCGAACGCCGTGGTAGATTAGAGGCTGTGGCGTTGCACCATTATACTCGAGGTCTTAGATTCCATTCTCACGGTGAGGGGGGCGCATTTTGATGGGAGAGAGTGAAAAAAAATCACAGCCTATTCACGAAGTGAATGACGAGCGGGGGGAAGCACGGACGGACGGCCGCACGGATGCTTCGCCTCACTCATCATCATTCACTCCATGGATATGCTGTGGCATCGTTTTTATTGACATGCAATGCAATGCAACTGGCTACGACGATGACTACGATGACACAGGACATACGACCTACGGCGTTATATTATTATTATTATTATTATTATTATTATTATTATTATTATTATTATTATTATTATTATTATTAATTATTTGGTTTGAGTACATAAAACATACGAAGACAGAGGAAATATGGAGAGAACCGGCTGACAACTGCCACCCCCTTATAGGGGCACAGCGCCTGCCTGCTCCTTCGGGAAGGGGAGGCCTAGAGGAAATAAGGGAAGAAAGGAGAGAGAAGAGGAAAGTTAAAAAAAAAGAGCTTAGCCCGTAAAACATCCATGTTCTCATAATTGGGTGGACATTAAGAAACCCACATGTTCGAAATCGTTCCGTAGTTACACTTTGCAGTGTGCCAGCTCGTAATAAGGTTACGTGCTACGCCACGCCAGCACGAGGAAAAAAGATTGTTTACACTCGCCGCCATGGCTATTGGCGGCGCTGACGAACACTTCCAGGCTGAAGTGCATATTTAAGCCCTACGAAGTGGACGAAGAAATGACCGCCGCAGTTGGCAGAGCATCGCGCAGGTAATGCGAAGGTTGCACGTTCGGTCCCTGCAAATTGTTTATAACACAATTATTGGAAATGAAGTCCCCTCTACTTTTTCGGCATAGTTGTCTCTTATTTTTCGCTGGTATTTTGTTTTAACGAACAAAAACGAGCCCTTGAAATACCGCTTCTTTCTTTCGTAATCTTATCGCAGGCTAGACACGTACCAACGGCCATTTCGAAGATTATTGCGGCAAACACCAAAGCTGCTAATAATTGATGGGGTTTAAGGTCCCAAAACTACGATATGATTATGAGAGACTCCGCAGTGGAGGGCTCCGGAAATTTAGACCACCTGGGGTTCTTTGACGTGCACCTAAATCTAAGCACACAAGCCTCAAGCATTTTTGCCTCTAATGCAGCCGTCGTAGCCGGGATTCGACCCCACGACCTGCGGCTCAGCATACGAGTGGCTTCGCCGCTAGAACACCGCGGCGGGTAACAACTCATACGACATTTCGATCATACTATAAATAATGTTTATTGTAGTTAAGACATTTGTATCTTACAACAGTGGGTGGCCATTTTTACTCATGTTGGTCAACATTTCGCAGCATTTCGCCAACGCTCACCAATATTAGACAGTAGGCAGCCGACAACAACCAGTGTTGGTAGTACATGAGAGAGAAAGAGAATAAAATGAGGAAAAGGCAGGGAGGTTAATCAGAAATCGGAGCATCCGGTTTGCTACCCTGCACTAAGAGAAGGGAGAATGGGGAATGAAGATGGGAAAGAAAGCAAAGAGCGAAATAGACACGCGAAAGAGAAAAGAAAGAAATGAAAGTGAGCTGGGTGCTATAGCCTATTCAATAGGCCACTACCACACAAAAAGTTCTATAGGGCCTTCACTGATTTTCTGTGTGAAGACAGATTATGCCGCCTTTCAAGGGTAGTACATGAGTACATGCTCTTTTGGAGAGCAGCTTTTACCTGCAGCTGTCCTTCATCAAACTATTGCTGAAAAATAAACATTATTATTATTATTATTATTATTATTATTATTATTATTATTATTAATTTCTCTACGCCTATGGGCTGTATCAAGTGTCTGTCTAGTTCAGTGTTTCTTGCTGAGGCAAGGTGCGTTCAGCCAAACATCACTGTGGACAGGTTACTACGCGTATTTATAGTCCTCGTTATTATGGTGTCTTGACTCTTATGTTGCTCATGAGTTAAGATGTATTTCCATGATGGCTGGAGACGTTAAATGGTTTTTATAAATTTCATTTCCGTAATTTTCTTTTACGTAATGATTGTGTCGACTGAAATATCTGCGTACGTATGTATTTTTTAAGGTTCTGCTGTTCGCATATTTATTTGTTGTTTTGTGTGCTCGATGCATTCAATAGCTAAGGAGTAATCGGTGGCGAATTTGTCTGTCTGCCTCTTACACGTTTGCCATTTCTTGGAATCAAGTCAGTTACGCTTAATGACCAGTGGTTATCCTGCCTAGTACTCATAGTTGAAATCAAGAAATCATGAACATGGGCTGGACACGTAGCGCATAGGCGGGATAACCACTGGTCATTAAGTCTAACTGACTGGATTCACATAGGTGGCAAACGCACAAGAGAAAGACGGAAAATTCGGCGAGCAGAGGGGACTAAGATGTTTACAGGCCTATCAGCAGAAAGCACAGGACCGGGTTGATTGGTGGAACATGGGAAAGGCCTTTCCCCTGAAATGGACGTAGTCAGGCTGATGATTATGATGGTGTTGATGAAGATGATGGTTTGTCTACCAACGTCTACATCTCGTCATATCAATAAAACAATATAAGTGAACCTTTTCATAATGTGTCAGCAAGAATGACACTTTCTTACAGATTGCCGAAACATTAGGCAGGCGTTCTGCCCCTCTAGGGGGCAGTTGTAAACCTGCTTTCTCCTTTCCGATAAATCCTTGCGTACGTGTGTGTGCAAATCAAATAATAATAATAATAATAATAATAATAATAATAATAATAATAATAATAATAATAATAATAATAATAATAATAATAATAATAATAATAATAATAATAATAATAATAATAATAATAATAATAATAATAATAAATGACAGTCAGGGATGACAGGAGCTTGCGATGATAATAGCGCAAGCAGCAGTTGTGTGCTCTACTATACTACTATCACTACTACTACTACTACTACTACTACTACTACGACTACTACTACTACTACTACTCTGCTACCAGCACGGGTAATAATAAAAATAGTATCTTACAAATATGACGCAGCGTCGGCCAGCGTCAGTTGGTGTGCCTCGCCCGCGCCTTGCTTCGTGACTCGAAGATCTTGCTGCTGGACGAAGCCACCTCGCAGATGGACGGCGACACGGACCGGCTGATCCAGGCCACGCTCAGGGAGGCCTTCGCCAAAAGCACGCTCATCGCCATCGCACACCGCCTACACACCGTGCTCGACTACGACAGGTACGCGAGCACAGTGGTATACCGCATAGTTCGTCATGCAGGCGGGAACTTCAGATGAGGTCTCTTCAGATGTCTCAAAGGCGAGAAGGGAGAGTCGGTGTCGACACCTGTTATCAAAACAAAAATCATGTGGTTACGTCACGGGCTACTAGAACATGAGATGTCATCATGACGTCGCCACAACGTCACATGACGACGTCATTACTCAACATCGTAGCTCGGTCAAGGGGAAGGGGGGGGGGGGGGTGCAAATCACGGAGACCATGCGGAACCGCATGAGGTGTAGAAATATTGCACTGCCTCCAATCTTCGAGGCCACGCAAAGCGACGTTAGGTGCAGAAGGCTTACGAAAAGAAGCAAGGAGAGATCAACACATGGACTTAGAACAAAAAACAAGATAGCTTTTTTCTTCGACCAAAGAGACCGGAAAGGAATTTTTTTTTCATATCTTGGGAACCTCGATTGATATGAGGGGTTTAACCTCACAAAACCACCATTAAGTTATGAGAGACGCCGTAGTGGAGGGCTGCGGAAGTTTTGACCACTTGGGGTTCTTTAACGTGCACCCAAATCTGAGCACATGGGCCTATTGAGCATTTTCGCCCCTCCATAGAAAATGCAGCCGCCGCAGCCGGGATTCGATACCGGAATCTGCGGGTCAGCAGCGGAGTACCTTAGGCACTAGACCACTGTGGTGGGGCCTTCAGAAAATATTGCCGAGCGCTTCAGCGTGACTGTTTTCTTGGTCGATCGACTGTCGCGCTTCAGTCACCTGGATGGGGCATTTGCAGACTTCTTAAGTTGTAGCCGACTATAGGTAAAGAGCAAGGCAACGTACTACCTAACGAACGAAGGTTTGAGTTCTTCTGTTCCAAGCGGGCTAATAAATAAAGGAAGAGAGGAAGGGGTGTTTCAGCCAATTATCGGCCGAAGCAGATTTTTCGTAAATGTTTTAACAAAATTTTCAAAGAAGTTCAACCAGTTAAGTAAGAATCGCAATTCGTTGGATCTATAGCTTCGTTTTTGAAACGCTAACATAGTTTTGTAAGGCTCACGTAGTTTTTTTTTTTACTTACAGAATACTCGTCATGGATGAGGGACGGGTGAGAGAATACGACACGCCGACTTCGTTACTCACCAACCCTGACAGCGCCTTCTATAAGATGGCCGCGAACGCTGGCTTCACTGCGGATCCAAGGAATTACCCGCTTGCCTTAACCTCGTTATGACCTTGTGACTCCCCAATAAAGCACTTCAAAACGTGACACGGCCGGCACACTGACATGATTGATCGATTGATTGTTATTTCATGGGTAAGGAAAGGAGCTTACGTACTACTGAAGGATTAAAAAGACCGAAGGCTAGAAACTGTCATCGGGACCCCCTATCATTAGTATTAGGCATGGTGTGAAGCAGTATGAAGCGATATGATGAAGCAGTATTCTGAGACGGTGACCGTTGCGAATAACACCGGCATGTCGCTTTCAGTGCTCGCAGACTGGCTACAGGTGGTCGTAGTAGGGGCAAGCGGTCACTACAGTCACCGGGCAAGCGATATTCTACGTCACTCAAGGCGACCGAAACTGTCGCTGAAGCTGAACAGCTCAGCATTCAGTCGACATTAATTCGCAGAGTGCGAAAATAATGAAACTCAAGCGTTTCCTTTGCCAATGTACCTGATTCGTATGTTCCTTCTCGCAGGATGGTTGCAGCAGGGTGGAAGCTACGAGGTGCAAACAACATGCTTGCGCAGCGAAATACTTTTGTAATGGCGTTATAATTGAATATGGGGTTGAGAAACCTACCTGTTTCGCAAGCATTATGTCTAAGCAAAATATTGATTGATTGATGTGGGGTTTAACGTCCCAAAACCACTATATGATTATGAGAGACGCCGTAGTGGAGGGCTCCGGAAATTTAGACCACCTGGGGTTCTTTAACGTGCACCCAAATCTGAGCACACGGGCCTACAACATTTCCGCCTCCATCGGAAATGCACTAAGCAAAATATCGTACGCTAATCACGATTCGCCTGTACACCCATCGGCAAATTAAGTCAGGACGGGCGAGCAGAGACCGCAACGAGATAAAACTAACTTTAATTTAAATTTCATCACCACGCCATCTGTAGTTGAGCGTCTACACTCGACAACTAAGGCGATGCACATTCGTGTTGCAAGGTGGCAAGTTGGGCCAGTTGGATTGCGTTCATAATTAAAAAAATTTCTTGAAGCGCACTAAAAACAGACAGACAGAAGAGGCTGACAAGGACAGCGCTTGCTCTCACAACTGAAGATTTATTAGTAAAGAAAAGTTATTTAAAGCGGATACATGGTCTTTCGCGCATGTGCATCAGAACAGGGTGCAACAGATACCGCTCTTGTCAGGATTACAAAACTGTCCATATTATGTGTCATTTATCATATTTTACAAGTACTAGGTGCTGAGATATGCGCATTCTTTATCATTCAGCACAATCGTAGCTTGGCTGACACAGTCATGTCCCCTCTTTCGGATTTGGTAAGATTCCACTATCTCACTTGTTAGCTGATCCTTGTGTCGAAATAATAAGCCTCTTGTGTCCGTCTGTTTTTTAGTGCGCTTCAACAAAATTTTCAATTATGAACATGCGTGCTGTTCTGCCAGCCTTGCGGCAGCTTGAGGCTGATTTCAGTTTTGGTCGCTTATATAATTAACGAGTTTAGAAAATGACGTACGCGAAAAACTGTTCAGTGTACATTTTAGAGTCGTATTACGGGTATATTTTTCTTAGAAAACTGAAAGGAATGCTTGCGGCTGCACACTGACTTGCTTCGTCATGGACGCCATGTCCACTTCGGAAAACGGGTTGGCTTGAAACGTGTTGCCGTCCAAGAAATGAACAGAAAAGGAAAGAATCGTTACAAGGTGAGCAATATAGAGATTTAGTTAGACGATCTTGCGGCCCGCTTCACTTCGAGTAGGCCCGCGGAGCTGGAGCGGAGCGGCGCACAATTTTCTCGTTTTAGTTAACGCGTTTTCCATTCCGGAGTACAACTTTCACCATTACAGCGCCTCTGGCCAAGTTCAGCCTCGTTAAATAAGAGAACAGGCTACCGTAGTAAAAGTAAAACAAGTATATGTGACGCTATGATGAATCGGAGACGTGGCCTGGCTCATACTCTATGTTTATTCCTTTCTGCACTTCTTCCTTCTCTGCCTCTACCAACTATCGCTTCATACGTCACACGATTCTCCCTCCCCCCGAAAGATGGCACTGGTTACAAACTATAACAAATTAAAGAAGTGAATGAACAAAACAATGCCCAAATTCACAGTTTCACGTCCAGACGGAGTTCCACAATCTCACTAAATCTTCAAGGCCGATTGAGCAGTCCGATGAATTTTATGACAACTCTGGTGGGCGAGGTTGACTGTTGCGTTCTGGCCAACAGAAGCACGCCTTGAACGTAGAAATTACTGATGACACAGCGATTCTTGTCATGAATGAACAAGGGTCGAAGTACTTGGAGCATTTGAGAGTCGGATGTTGTAGGCACGAAGTTCTCCGTCGTAGACGCTGCTTTCGGTGTCGTGGCTGAGACATAACGAGTGCTTGCAGCCTGCATGTGCGAGAACCGAAGCTGATGGTATGATGCCTTTGTTCCTTCATTGTACACGTGGTAGCTGCACGTCTCTTTCGTAGCTTTCTGTGGTCTTCTCTCAGTTTGTTGAATCGTAGACACGGCGTTGAGAACTGGTGCAGAAAACTTTGTCGACGTTGCTTTCTGTTAAGATGGTTTAGGGAGTGACTATGTCTTTGCTTCTTTAATTGGTGTTGTCTCCGATTAAGCCACAAGTATACTCGTGATGAGGTTTCGCTTGTTCGCTGTTTTTGTTCGAGTAAGCGTTGTAGTGCCTGGGGTTCTTGGAGTTGCATTTGTTCAAATTTCTCGTTTTGTTGTGAAAGTTGGTCAGATGGGTATCTTTCAGGAACATGAGTCTCCTTTTCTTTGCGCGATGTTGTGATCACTAAATAGTCGGCAGTCGATACTCTACTGCTGGGCTCGTTTTGCGATGAAAGCAGCGTGACAGACTGATGAGAAAGCTCCCAAAAAGGTTGTGCGTCATCATTGATTGTAAATGCTTCTGTCAGTTGACAATGTTCTGGCATTGGCGGATTCGAAACTTCTGCAGTGCTTCGACTCGCATGTGTGTTATCACTTGACGATGAGGGCACAGCAGACATGGCTTCAGGTGGTTCTGATGGCGTATGTTTTTCTTTTTGCAGCGTAGTTAGGCTGACAATGTCTGTCGGACGACCCTGGTCCGGAACGTCAGGGTAGGGGCTGGCATTGTGAGGATTCACCAGCTCGTCACGCGTAAATTCCGTCGCACGCTCGAAACCGTCTGGGCCTTGTGTGTGACACGAAGCATCAAGGAATTTGGGTGGTTCAGTAAAATGTGAATTGTTGTGGTGCAGTGAACACGTTGAAAATGCCGATTTCATTGTTCTTGGGAAAGCCGGCTTTAGGTTTAATCGTTTGCCGAAATGGTCTAGATTCCCTTCGGTATACGGAGGCTTTACCTTGTCTGTTGCGACGTGCAAGTTACCGGTCGGTGTCCGAATGCGTGACATTTTTTCGGAAGAGTCATATGATGGTGCAATGGTGGTATATTTTCTCTGATGTCTCGTTTGGAAAATAGGCTTACTGCGGGAAGACTTCGCGTAACTGTGATGGGTGAGTTGAAAAGCCTTCCGCTGATGAGGTATGGACAGATCTTCATCGTATTTGAACCAAACGATCATTTCTTGTTTGATCTTTTCCCATGACTCGTCGTTTTGAAATATGCGGGTGAGGTAGAATTTGAAGGCCTCACCGGAGACGTAGTCGGTAAAGTTGGCGACCATCTCCCGTTCCGACCATGATGCAGCGGTAGCGTGGAGCTCGAACAGGTCGAACCAGTCCTGTACAGGTCCATCGTCCGCTGCTCCGGTGTACTTGGGGATGGGAAGGTCTGTCGATGGTTCTGTCATGATGCCGGTAACTGCACGCGCCTGAGGTCACCTCTTCTGTCGTCGATATTCAGTTGAGGCGTACTGCCGGTGGCTTCGTGATTGATGTGAGGTTGATGAGCGGTGGCCAAGTCTTCATCCTGTCGACTCGTGTGACGCTATGATGAATCGGAGACGTGGCCTGGCTCATACTCCATGTTTATTCCTTTCTGCACTTCTTCCTTCTCTGCCTCTATCAACTATCGCTTCATACGTCACATATACATAACTCAATTGTTCACGAATTATTCAGACTTGCTCTTACAACGCGTTACCAGCCCATTTTATCGAAGAAAAATAAAGTGTCCTCTTGAAGATAGCCACGCGATCTATGATCGCGATAGCTAGCCAGGTTGCATTCCAGATTCAGTTCAATTCATTTTGACGCCAACGCCTGAGCGATGTTTTCTTCATCTGTGTTGTCTTTTTTTTACTTCCTGCCACTTTATTTGGCGACATGCAGTAAGTACAAATATCTGTCTATGCTACCGCGCTTTCGCGGCTTGCGCTGCGCATACAAACGTGAAGCCAACGTGCATGTTGAGCCATACGTTGAGCACTGGAGGCAGCCATCTTGAAATGAGTCATGTCACTGCACGAACGAGAGGGGACGCGCACTGCGTCCCCCTTCTGAAGTGCCTCAATGCTCTCGTTCTCTTTCCACATGCGAAAACGCAGCGACGCTCCGCTTAGATGAGACTCGGTGCGTGAGACTCGGTCCGCTAACCCGCTTACGGCCGTAGCGAAGGGCGCATGCGCACTCGCGCTCCGTTTAGCTGCTGAGCGGAGCGTACGAACGCCAAACTAAGATTCTCTTATAACAGAATTTTACCTGCAATTACCCGCCACTGTTCGTTTCATAATAAATAAAGCGCACTTATTTGAGCAAGGGCAACGAGAGAAAAAAAATATCAGTGGACTTAAGTACTATTTTTTTTTCGGGGGGTGGTGGGAGATGTGCGCATCGGTTTCGTAGCTTCCACAGTGCTGTCAAGACAAGTTGTCGCTGAGTGTTTTTGTCGCTTTCTTTGCTCACTCCGTCGCACTATCAGTTAAGCGAGGACACGCTGGCAGTGAAAGGTACGTCGCTTGTTTTACCTTTATCAGACAGATAACACTTAACAGCCGGACCATCACATCTTATGAGAGTAATCTGAAGATTTATTTTTTTTTGGGGGGGGGGGGGGGGGGCTCGACGGCTTATCGTTTTCAGTGCTCTCATCCGTACTTCAGTACCACACGGTAAGTT